ATCACACATAAAGGGTGGGTGGGGGGGGTTACGATTTGTTACCTGGAATATGCGGTCAGCTCACACATCGCAGAGGGTACTCTTTGTTGTGAGCATCCGCGTGTGTATGTTTTTGATATCACACATAGCATGGAATACGAGTACACATCCCAGAGGTTAAGCTGTGCTACTCAAAAAGGCGTGTGTATGCTTGGGGAGCACACAGAACGGGGGGTATTTTGGTTATCCAGAGTATGTGGTCAGCTCACACATCGCACAGGCACATTAGTCGCGGACATCGGTGTGTTTATGTTTTGGAGGTCACACAGAACAGGAGGTACACTTTGTTACGTGGAACGGCCTGTCGACGTGGTCTGGTAAGCTTGGTTGTGGGCATCGGCGTGTTTTTGTCTGTCTGTTTGTATGTTTGTCTGTCTGTCTGTCTGTCTGCATGTTGTGAGACCACTCGCCACAGGCGTTACGATATCCAGCTGTTGCGGGCATCGGCGTTTCCATGTAAACAGTTCACACATCGCAGAGGTTGCGACTTGTTCCGAGCGTCATTACACATAACAGTTGCTTGAAATATGTGGTCAGCTGACACATCACACAGGGTAGATTTCTTGAGTGGAGTCCAGGGTCAGCTCACACATCGCGGCGGAGGTACGATTTATTACGAGCAGCTGTTTCTTTTCGCCTGCAATCTGCAGTCCTCTGCTAGTTGCCCTGTCTAGCTTTCGTCCCAGCGCCTCCTCCCCAAGTTGGATTGGCTTTCCCTTGGAAATCGATTCTTATTCAGTTTAGCCAAATGTCCCTCCATCCGCTCCTTGTTTTAACGGGCGAGAGAAGGACTGAGCTAAGGATGACTGGGAAGAGATAAGATTCTTGATAAGATCTCACAAATGAAAATAAGATTTCAGTAATGAGTTTTGCTGCTTCCATATCCGCATTGTTCGACTACTGCGGGGAACCCTTATAATTCGCGTACAAGACCTACAAGAAGTGCATCATATGGTGGGCTCAAAACTGCCGGGACGGCGGGGCGAGCAGACACACAAGGAGCACCAGGTTTGATGCTTTTCCTGATCAGCCTAGGAAGACTTCGATGGTTATTGCAGCAGCTCCGATGCAAGCGATGGCAGTTTTGCGGTCTGACAGGTGATGGAAGGCAGGACTCGCTACCTTCTTTCACAGTGGAGCAGCAAAGGCCGCATGCGCCAGAAGGGCACTTGGGGCGGCCAGGTGGAAGCACGAACCCTGCTAACTTTACAGCAGCGCACCGTCCGCGCCATATTTCTTGTGGTTACTTTGTCTTGCACTCAATTGCAACAACGTTCTTCCAAGTTGAGCAGGTTCAGGCACTGGCCAGACTGAACGGAGTCAATGCCGCACCTTGCCATGGGTTGGACTGATTGCCAGCATACCGGTCAAAACCCGACACTGTAAGCTTTCGAAATGATGCTGTAGACAAGCAAGGTCATCTACCAGCCCTCGCTGGCATCTGGCAAGCCTGACCAGATCCTGCGGTCGGCAATTGAGATTTCTGTGAACTCGGAGGATGCGCGCTGCGTGCTGCCCCTTGGTTTTGTAGACTTTGGGAGCCCCTGGCCCTTAGCTGAATGTTTGTCGACTCTGTTGCAACCGGATTGTGTTGTGAACGCCGGTTTTGAGAACGTTTTTGGCCCATGCATGTGCAGGTACTTCTGGTTCGAGCCACACGAACAGCTGTGCGCGGACCCACAACCCGAAGTTCGATATTTCGAAGCCCCGATGCCTACACTTCGCCTTCAGCCCTAGACACCCCATTGCAGTTAGGCTGTGGGGCTCCAATCCCGCAATCCCCCGCAGGAACCTGAATCTGAGGACCCTGTCGTTCCCGACTAGCCGGGTCGGGGGTCCAAGGGTTTGAAGTTGAGGGTAGAAGAAACCACAAACCCTTAGCACCAGGGTCTTCGTGTCCGTATGAAGTCGTAAACCCTGGACCGGACTCCATGCTTGGCGCTCCGCTCCCCACTCGCTCCCGTTGCATTCTCGATAGACTCCCTTCCTGGCCAATTGGCTCCGACAGCGTTCGTAACACGAGCCCTCACTACAATTCGGTGAGCAGGGGTGGGGCTTAGGCCTAAGCTTCATTTCAGACACCCGGAGACCCTGAGCCCTAAGCCTTGCTCCGGCCCACCGGCCCCTCTTGAACCCCGCTTAAAGCGAGTTCTTCACTCTGTACCTAGCCTTCCGCAAGGGCTTGGCAGGGCACAAGTTCCCAAAGTCTAAGCCCAAAGCTCGTTTCAAACAGTTGGCATCAGCCTGCAAAGCAGTGTCGCAGGGCTGCTGTTGGTTTGCAGGGTTTAACTAAGCATTTAAGATTTCTGCGTTTGCAAAAGCCTTGGGGTTGGGGCTTAGGAGTTGAGGGTTCGGGATTAGGGTTGAGGGGCAGGGTTAAAGGTTCAAGGGTTTCGGGATAGGATTTAGGGTTAGGGTTTGTTTGCTCCGGCGGGCGATTCCAATTTGGGCTGGCTCTTGTGTGGATCTGGGTTTAAGGTCCATGGCCGAGTTAAGGGTTCATGGTCCAGGGTTCAGGGTCAGTCAAGGTTCCAAAGGTTTTCGTATTTGCATTCGTTTATCGACTCTGCAGGCTGCAAGATCGGCTTATAACAGATGTCGGCAGATTGTGTCAAAGCACGAAGTCAGATTTCAATATTCTCAGCTTCGAATTGATAGGAATAGCCTTCGAGCCAATCCCACACTGTAAGCCATGGCCCAACAGTCTGAGTTGAATGGCAACGCATCTCGGCAGGGCTCAGGGTAAGCTGCCCATGTTAGTTGTTCAGCAATTGGATGCAGTTTGCGTTTTGGCTGGGTTTAGGGAGTTTAGGGTCCTGGCGGTTTCGGCTTCCGCAGACCAGGAAGGATTAGGATGTTTCGGTCTGATCACAGGGGGTCGTTGAAATACAAGGAACACTTAAACTCTAAGAAGGGTTTAGACTATTTCTTATGGCGTCGAAATGAGGAAGTTCAAGTCCACATTCAGGATCCACTGGGGTCTAGAGGCTCTTTAGGACTAGGTTAGGCTTACCATGTAGCTTTACATGGGTCCATGTCCTTGCTTAGCGAATGTAATGCTCCGAAAGCACACCGGTCTAAACCCAGTGGCAAACCCAATTGTCTCTGTTTGGAAATCCATATACATTTGCAGTCCTGCTTTTTCGTATATAATACAGATCTACGTTGTTTAGAAACAAATTATGCACAAACACACATAAACGGATACGCACATACATAAAGACAGGCAGACCCTGAAAGGTGAACGGCACCTACTTGGCAGTGCTGGTCACGCCAGAGCTGTTGGCCGGCGGAAACCTGGCTCCCGGCTTCAAGTCACCCGTGGCCTGGCGAGCTTCGGGGGTTAGATTTCCTTAGACCACGGCCCTGAAATCACAACTTGAAACGGCAAGTGAAACCGAAAATCGTCGCAATCAGCCCAAATCGTACAAACAGTACGAGTCTGCCCATGAAACCAAGGATCCGCTAGCCAGGTATCCAAGTAAGCGCAGTTGAGACAGGGTGTTGAAGGGTGAGGGTTTCAGGTTTAAGGGGTTATGGGTTTCAAGAAGTTCAGGCGTTGCAGGCTGGATGCAAGAAAAAAGAAGTTCAGTTGCATGTTTGAAGGTTGTGCGGTTCAGAGCTTGGGATTCAAATCGCATTCCTCGTTGTTTCTTTTCAGCCCTCAGCCCTGTAAGTACGAAATCCTCAAACCCAAGACCTATTGAATTGAAACACAAAAAGCCACGGCGGCTTACCGCATAACCGCACAATGTCAAGGACATTCCTCGATTCCCTTTGGAGGTGCCGCAGATGTTCGGACTGTGGCTTGGCTTGCTCGGCTTGAGGGTCTAGCGTTTTTATGAGGGTGTTCAAGGTTTCGTACGGAGTCGTAAGGTTTTCGTCGTCGAAATCTGCGAATCCATGGTTTTAGTGGTACATTCTCGAGCCGAAAACCCGGGTTTGGGCCAGATCAGGGCTTCGGGCTCTCTCGTCCTTTGCTGATTCACACGGGCAGGCAGCGGCGCCGCATGAACACGTGGCATGTATGGGCTGCATGGGAAGAGGCCTTTGCGGTCGCGTTTTCAGAGGAGGGCTCTTCAGGACTCTCAGGATCAGCAGGGCGCAGTTCTTAAGTCAAGCTTGCAGGGTAGAGCAGCTAGTCGATGCATTGAGACACGTCGTCTATAACCCGGCTTCTTCCACATGACGAGAAGTGGCTGTGGGAAGTCAACCGTGAACACTTGTGTTTGTAGAATATTTCTGTTCGGCACTTGACACGCAAACTATCGATGCGAGTTTGGAAAGGTGCCTTCGTCATCGGCCGGAAGCGAAGGTCGGCGCTGAGCGGTGGATAGGGCGAGTTGCCAATTGCTATCTAAATCCATGTTTTGTTCAAGGCCTTTCGGCTGCAACGTGGCAAGATGTTGGAGGATAGAATAAACTAGCCTGCGTGAAGATCAGATTCTTGTGCTCAGCTGCCAGTCTCCGCACGTTGTTGCTGGACCGCCCTCTCGCCCTTTCGGCTTAATACTCTGCTACAGCACGCGGAAGCAACAGATTAGCCAAGCACGGGCACCAACCTTGCTGTTGCCCAGTGGAGCTACTTGAGTTGCGCAGCCACAAGTCGACTCGAAGACTTTTTTCCTTGGCGAGGCAAGTATAGACACACCCTCAAACCCCAAAACCCCGGCCTCAGCTTCGGGAGCTCTTTGATAGGGCGAGTGCAGCGATGCATGCCATAGCGCCGCAGGCGTCACACAGCTTCTCCTTTTGCAGCGAAGCGACAGCTCTGCTGTAAAGAAACTTAGAAGTTTAAGTATTCTTTGCTGCTATTGAAGTGCTCTCTTGGGACAGGCCGAAGGTTGGCAGCTTCACGCTCAAGGAGGCGAGGTCTTCGCAGTGTTCGAATCTGTATATATCACTTATCAGAATCCTCAACATGTGCTCTTGTGGCCCACGCTTGAGAGGTGGTTCGCCGCATGCCGTGCGATGACTCCTCGGTTGCTGAGGCCGAATCCGGGCTTAGCTGTCAAGCCTGAAGTCGCCGCGCGGTGACTTCGGGCTTGGGGGTCCAGGGTTCAGGGTTCAGGGCTCGGGGTTGAGGGTTCGGTCAGTGGCTTCAGTTCTTCGAAGCTTTGCCAATGGAGTAGCTGGAAACCGCAGCTTGAAGCTTGTGAGAGTCTTTCGTTTGCTCCAGGAGTCTGCAGATGCGAATGCCTTGAAGGACTGCCTGTGAAACATATCGCTCCTTTCACCCCTCCGATTTGGAACATCTTGCAGGAGCCGCAGTCAGAGGAAGCACCTGCTGTGCGAATACCGGAGAAGGTCAAGGGCCTCAGATTGGAGAAGAGTTCAGAACTTCGTGTAGCACCAGCCGGGCCGTGCAAGAGGCGACAGAACCGAAAGCTACACCGCTTGCAGATCCCAGCATGTCTGCGCTTGCTTGTAGCTCCAGTACTTCAGACAGTATGGGTCCTCTTGCTGCTGATCGTTTGTGCCGGGTTTTGTTGCTGGCAGCTTTTTGTTGGGCTTCTTCCTCTGTTGCCTGTTCCATTAGCGCACGCCCACCCCAGTCCCTTGCACGGAATGCAGGCAGAGACAGAGCGCCAAGAGGAGAAAACCCAGGCCGAGGGTTTGTTTGCCAGAGCCTTGAAAGCTTTCGGCTTGAGTTCTTTTGCGTGGTTTCGAATGTCAAAGAGTCCTGCGCCAGGTGCCGGAGGGCCCCTCCCTGCCTGGTGGCGAAAAAGAGGATGGCCAGAAAAACGAGAAGGCGCAGCAATACTGCAGCGACTTTTGCGCCCGGTCCGGTGTGGCCGCCCGATGAGTTTTTTGCAGCTGAGGGCGGCGAAGCTGCAGAAGCTGATGTGAAGGAGAAGCGACCCAAGCACATTGCACACGTTTTGCAAGTCGAGGTTACAGTCGCACAGTATAAGTCATCCCACATCAAATGCTTGAGAACTTGAGACGAGCTTGATGATAGTCGCTGGCAAGACAGGGCGCGCCAGAAATCTAACATTGCCTAATCACGCCCCTTCTGCCGACGAGGACCCCGCAGAAGAGAAAGTCACAGAAGAGGTGCGTCCCGTGCCTGCGGATGCCGGCTCGACTGGAGCCGCCGAGCCGGATGGCTCTGGAGACGCTGAGCCTCAGAAGGCAGAACCTCTCCGTGAGTGACTCCTTTATGCTTCCACAAAAAGGCAGAGGCTCTTGCAGCTCTGCTGGCGCCGCCGTGGCTTTGCGTCCTGTCTGTCAGGCCGTCGAGGAGGAGCATCAGGCGAGGAAGCTTGAGCTGGTCATGGTCATCGAATCTTGTTGAACGCCTGTCTCCACCTTCAAGCAGCTGACAGGTCTCAAAGCCAAAAGACGAAGAGAGTGTACCTTGTCTTCGGCATGGTCCTACTGTGTGTTCCTATGTTGACGAGAGCAGGCAACAGCTTTGCTGCGCATCCGCTTCTGGTGTGTCCGAAGTCTGGGGCGGCCCTTCATGTAAACAGCCGAGCGTGCCCAGGAAGCGATGCCGAAAGCCATGGAAGCTCCTCCTTTGCCCGCGGACGATGTGAAACAAGACGGCGAGAAAGAGGCGGAGACCTAACGATTCATGCAGGTTGGAGCTGTGTTGTAACGCCATCGTAAGGTTGCCCAGAGCCAAGACATAGCGCAGAAAGACGAAGAGCAGAAGACCCAAGAGAAGGACCCAGGTGGGGGTGACCTGCAGAGTAGAGCGGACGCACGAACCGGCAGGATCTGCCTTTGGAAGCAGCGTCGGGCAGTCAAGATGCGGCTTTGGCAAGACCTGGCCCGCGTGCTCAGGAACTGCGCACATCACCAGTCGCTCCCTCTTGAGGTGGCTCCGGATGCAGCTCCGAATGCAGCTCCGGTTTCGGGCGAGGCGGAGGCAGACACACCTCGGCTTCCGATGGATAGCAACTTCAGCCCGTTCGGCCCGTGCAGGCAAGCCCGAAGCCAGCCGAAGCCGAGGAGGGCACGGAAGCCAAGGCCGAGCCGGCTGAAAGCCCAAGCCCGGGCACTGCCCCCAAAACGCCGGTGGCCTTGGCCAGCCCGGGCAAGGAGGCTTCGGAGGCCCCGGAGGCCGAGGCCGAGGCCGAGGCGCGAGGGGGCGCGTGCGCGGTGCGATGCGCGATGCGCGTTACTTATACTTGTAGGTTAGGTTACTGTAGGTCAGTCGCAGCTTCGCTTCGAGGCGTCGGCCTACAGCCCCGAGGATGGCCCTGTCGACCAAGACAAGGCGAGCGCTCGTGCTTCAGAGAGTTTGTGGTGCTGTGGCCACCGGCCTGCACGCTTTTCCGTGCTCACGAAGGCCAAAGAAGAACAACTGCGAAAGCTTGTGGCCTGTCTTTTACTGTCTGTCTGGTTTGGGTTGCGGCTTGCCGCGTGATTGTTGGATCGGAGTTCTACCGACGCATCCTGATCTGAGGCTGAACTGGAAGCTGCGTTGGCTCCTTTCGCGACCATAGAGCCCAAAGCTTCTGACATCCCCCAGGAACTGGATCGCTCGACGATGAAATGATATGCTTGCGATCTGTTCCGAGCAGACTTGCAGTCTTGATTCTGCGCAGGAGACCAAAGGAAACAACACCGAAGCCAGCACAAGCCAGAGGCTGGATGTAAAGGAGGAAGTCAAAGCTGGCTCAAAGGCATCGGGCGAAGAGGCCATGGGCTCCCTGCAGAGCCGGTTTCTGACCGAGCCTTTGCTTGGCCAGGCGGAGGCGGACGCGCGAAAGGACCCAAGCAGTCGCTCGGCTTGCGCGTCGCGGATCCTGAGCTTGGCATTGCCGATACATGTCAGTGTGAGGGGAGGATTCGCCGAAGCCACGACGCCAGTATAGTAAGTGGGGAGTGGGCAGTGTTCCCGAAAGTCTAGGCTTGTTTCCCAACGTTGCCCTCGACGAGAAGGGCACGGAAGCCAGAAAGAAGGCAGCGAAATCAGCTCGAGAGAGAGAGGAGAAGGCCCGGGGCCCTTGGTGCAAAGGATTAGGGCCTTTAGGGATCGTCGGCCATGATCCTGCCTGAGCGGATGTGCCATGCGGTGCAGGAGAAGGCGGAGAAGGGTAAGATGGAGAAAGAGAAGAAGTTGAGAGGCTGGTCCCAGGGCCGTAGCCGGAGCCGGAGAGCTCGACGCTCCTCGCCCAGCCCCAAGAAGAAGGGCAGGGAAAGGGACCGGTCCCACGAACGGAAGCGATCGCCGAAGCGCTCGCCCAAGCGGTCCAAGCAGTCGCCCAGGAGATCGGCGAAACGGTCTCCGAAGCGGTCGCCCAGAAGATCTCCCAAGAGGTCCCCGCCCCGAAGATCGCCGAAGCGGTCGCCGAAGCGGTCGCCGAAGCGATCGCCGGCGAAGCGACCCACCAAGCGCTCCCGATCGCGCAGCCGCCGCAGCCGGCGTGGTCGCTCCGCAGAAAGGCGAATGCCCTCGGCGAAGCGTCGGCGAAACGCCGCGGCCAAGGCCAAGGCTTCGTCTTCTGCAAGCCGAGATGCCAGGCGGCGAAAGGAGAAGGAGAAGCCTCAGCTTGCTGTGAAGAGTAAGGTGAAACGGCCCAAAAGCTCCAGCTCCACCTCCACCAAACTCAGCCGCCGGAAGGCGCCAAAAGCACGCGCCAGACCCAAGAGCTCCAGCTCATCGCCTGCGAAGGCTCCCGCCAAGACAGCAAAGACTTCAGGCAAGGCTCCGGCAACAGCAACAGCCCCTACGGCCCCTCCCAAGTCCAAGCCGCCGGTGGTTGCGCAGGGCGATGAGAGCCGAAGATCACCGAAGAAGCAGACTCAGACAGCCAAAGCAGATCAAAAGAAGCCCGCGGTGACGAAGAAGCCTCCGCCTTCCTCATCAAGCTCACCATCGCCGGCACGGCCCAAACCGAAGGCGACCAATGCCATTCCGGTGAAGAAGACCATAGCAAAGAAAGCGGTGACCAAGAAGTCTGAGTCCTCATCGGCTTCCTCCACATCCCCAGCTGGACCGCCCACGAAGGCCAGCAAGCCAGCCAAGACGGATGCCAGCGCCAAGGCCAAGCAAGACAAAGACAAAGACAAGCCTAAAGTCAAATCCAATGCCGCTCGAGCAGCCCCAAAGGCCAAATCAGCTGCAAGCACAAAGCCTCCCAAGCCAAAAGGCGCGGAGCCAAAGTCCACCCCATCCACTCCTCAGGCAAAGCCCTCAGCAGCAAAATCCTCCGCTCCGGCCCCTCCCCCGGTGAAAGCTGGCACGCCGAAATCCGCCAAGGACAAGGCCGAGAAGCCGAAGCTCTCCCAGAGTTCCGAGAAGCCAGGCGGGCCCGCCGGGCCAGAGAAAGTGAAGCGGAAGAAGAAGAAGGCGCCAAAGGCCACAGCCGGCACCACAGCCGGCGGCACAGCCAGCGCAGCCGCGGCCGGCGGCCCCAAGGGCCCCAAGGGTGCGGCGAGAGCGGCCAAAGCCAAGGCCATCTCATCCCCTCAACTCGTCTCCGTGACCCGTAAGCCGGCAGACAAGGACAAGGACAAGGATCCCAGCAGCGACAGTGACGTGGAGATCGTGGCCGCGGACATCAACTGGTCCTCGCGGCAGCCGGCCGCCGCGGGGCGAAACGGCGGGCCCAAGAGGCGGGCACCGGAGGAGGTCTTGGCCGCGGCGCTCATGGACGTGTTGGTTCCGAAGCCGACGGGTCCGGATGCCGCGGATTTGTCCCCGGCCGAGGCCGCTCTTCTCCGAAGGCAGCAGATGCGGCGGCGTCTCTCCGAACCATCCGACTGGGCACAGCCCGTTGATGTCACGGCCCCAGCACCTCCGGAGACCGACGAGGAGCTGAAGAAGGAGAAGGGCAGAGATGTGCTTGAGAAGCTGAAGATGACGCAGAAGCAGCTCCTGCAGCTTCAGCTTGGAATGAAGCAGCAGCAGCTGGAAAAGCTGAAGGCTCGGATGCGCGGCAAGCGATCCAGAAACACATTTTTCCCTGCGCGGCAACGACGCCTGCCAGCTCAGCTAGCTCAGCCAGCTACTTCCGCCGGAGCGAGCCCAGAGCCTTCGAAGCCGCCGCCAATTCTCGCAGATGCATCGGCGTCGGCTGCATCGCCCCCCAGTCCCAAAGAGCGCTCCGAGAAGCGTCCCCCGACTCCATCGCCAGGCGCGCCTGAATCTATCCAGGCCTCACAAGCCCCAAAGCCCGCAGAGCGCAGCCAGGTGATCCCAAAGCGCGCGGAGCCCACGGCTCCTGCAAAGCGCGTGGCAACCCCAGCTCCCACGGCTCCCACGGCCCCGGCGGCTCCTGCGCTCCCCGTGCCCGCCACTGTAGCCCCCGCTGTGCATCCTGCGCTCCGACCCGCAGCATTAAAGAAGAGCCTCGCCGATGCCTACTTTGAGAAGAAAGCTCAGGCCGCTCCACAAGACGTCTCAGTCTCGTACCTCGCTTTTTATATTGCCACTGTTGCCAGGTCGAGAGGCAGAAGGCTTTGCTTCAGGAGGCTTTGGCCAAGCGTAAAGAGCTGGCCGGCAAGGCTGCCCGGCACGATCGGCTTGGATGCAGATCGCGGGACTCATGCAACAGCGCTGGTTGGCTCGATCTGTAGGGTTATATAGGGAGAGTTGCACGCGCTTAAACACGGGCATGTAAAAGGAGCTTGCAGTCACAGTGAAGAGAGTGTAGCTCTAGCATGTCAACACATGGCCGGAGATGCACCGCAGGCAGTCAAGAGCTCCGGCGATGGGGCAACGCCAGCCTAGGCACCGATTGGAGAACCAGAGGCGCAGCTGCAAGGTCACCTTGTTCCTGAAAGCAGAACACACGGCACGGGGCACGGTCATGTTTTGCCTACAAGCGCTGATGATGCGGCAGTTGTGTCAGCAAAAATGAGCATCGCCAAGAGATGGCGGATGGCGGAGATCTGTCCTCCGTGTTTCCAGGTGACGTGCAGCCGCGCCTTCTGAGCTGAGATGTGGTTCCTCAGCCTCGAAGCTGAGATGGACTCGCAGCTTATCGGTTTTCGTACGGAGCGCCTTCCACAAATACCGTGAGCGACGAATTGAGACTTACTTCTAAGACCGCCAGCATTCTCATGCTGATTTGTGAGGAGGCGATAGCTTGCGAGCCTTGTCCATACAACATACCGCGTACCAGGCAACGAGTGGGAAAAAACCTGCGATTCTGCCGGACCCAGCTCGTAAGTTATTCTGAAGCCTGGCATGCGCAGCTACCAGTGGCAGCCATGTTGAGGCTGAAGCGCTTCTCCCTCAGACTCGAGAAAGGCTGAAGCTGGCACGCGCCTCAGCTGCTAACCTGGAGAGAGGACAGAACACGAGAGAGTGGACTTCTGACAAAAACCCTCTCGGGCAAAACGTCAGCAGGTTATGCGGGTCTAAGCCCTTACGCACTCAACACTAAACCTCCCCAAACTTGAGACTCTGGTAGTCCTCTGAATACAATCCACATGACCATCGAGAGCCCCTTGCAGACTGGAAGGTCGCTACTACTGAATACGCAGCGACCATTCCGTATCTCCTACTCACTCGACTGCCGGATATTCGATTGAAAGAGGCCATGTCAGGCATTGCGGGTCCGCATACGACCGCTCTCGATGCTTTCCCGAACTACGGGCCCTGAGAGTTTTCGCGCCATGAGGCCAGCAGCTGGCAGCGTCCAGCTGCAGTGAGACCAGGTTCCTGGGCTCGAGCAGCAACGAGGCTTGCTGCAAGTGCGGAGGCCAGCGATTCTGGGTCGGAGAACGGCAAGAGAGGCAGGCAAAGTACGATGATTAGGCATGTCTGGCGTGAACTCGGGTTTGAGAGTTGTGGTTTTGGGCTGCAGTCTCGGCGACTTCAGCCGCACGCGCAGAGTGATCCCAAACATGTTCCGACGTTTAAATCTGGGGTTGTGCACAGTCAACTGGGCGCGGGGCCGGGCAATGGCAAGGTGGTCGCCTATTCTGTGCAACGGAGTCCCCGAAAAGAACCGCCGCAACTGGCCACGATTGGCGCAATGGATTCTATATTGTTTATACTCCTTGATCTCTGCAGCCTAACACTTCAATCCCTCAACTCTTCTCCGGGAGTACCGCGACCTCATTCACTTCGAGTGGAGGTGGTATCCTGACATCCACTCCCTTCAAGTATGAAGATCACGTGCTCCTCGGCAGATGTCCTGTTATCCTGGTTACTGTATCTTGGGGTGAGGGTGTTGCTCTCGGCGCAAAGAGTTTCAGTGACGCTGCGCGGCATACACTTCAATCACAGGGGGGTAGCGGTGGAATTCAGCGTCGCATTTTAGGATGAGTGCAAGGATCAAATACGGTGTGAATTTGGAAATAGGGCCGACTCCCTATGGCGACCAAACCTGTCTTGGGTGCTTCGGGTCCGTGGGAGCCTCGATAGTGGTACTCACGCGAAGGGAGGACCAACGCGAGTCCGCATTCAGGGAACATTCCAACACGCGAGGTTGAAAAAATGACCAGGGGTTGCAAGCTAGAGGGTCCTTCAAAGTTCAATCTACATACAGCAGCAACAGGTAAGGTCACTGGTGCCATCTTGCTTGCATCTGTTGCATTCGTTAGGGTTTCCTGTTTCCTTCCGTCAGAGCACAGGGACCTTGAGTACTTGATATATTGTCACCCTTGATGGACCAGCCATGGTGAAGCCTTGGCTGCCTCGGGCGAGCGTGGGAATCGAAATCTTAGACCTTTGATTATCTGCAACCGTAAGCCCTGAACCTTAGACCTAAAGACCTCAACTGGAAGTCCGAGTTGCGAGAGTGCGAACCTCATGACCCTAAACAAAACCCTTTAACAATGCAGTTTAAGCTTAGAACCCTGCACGGGAGAGGTTTACGCTCACTGAAAACGTCAACCTTTGGCCGAAGCCGCGCACGGCATCCCACTACGGCCTCACAGAACCTTGGGACTTGATATAGGGAATTTTCATGTTTAAGCAAAGAATAGAGAAGATCGTTGTGTGGGAGTGGCTGTGCTAGTTTAATCCGGCGATTGAGGGATGGGGCTGTGCGGCTGTGCGGGGTCGCCGGCTTCGGGGGCTTCAGCCGCTAGTCTGGGCAGAAAAGCTCCTTGGGGGTCGCAAGTAGGTTCTTTTCTTGCCGGAGACTGTGGTCAACGGATGTCGAGATCAACAGCAAGAGTGTGCCGTAACTCCACCCGGCAATCAAAAGCATTGTAATTTTAACGCTACGCCGCCCGCCTCGGCTGTGTAGCGGCAGGGCGAGGGGGCAGTCGATGTTTTTTTATGCTAGGGCGGCCTGTCAAACCCCAACCTTTACACGGTTACGGTTGTTGAGACGAAGTGCGAGGAGAACGGGTACAAGGGGGAAGGAGGGGAGGGGGGAGGGGGGGGGAGGGGGGGGGTGAAACCATAAACCTCTAAAGGGGTAGCTCTAACAGGTACCTACAGCAATGGCTGCATGCTCATACATATACATTCCGCTGCCCATTGGCTCACAGTGGTTTTACCATATTGAGACAAGACAAGCTCTCCTTGCGTAGCAAGACAAAACAACTACTGTCCGTGTGCAGGGCGCTGCCCTTTGATCCTTAGGGAATAACTGGTCATACACCTCCTAACAAGGAGTATTCCTTGTGGGTGTATCGGCACAGTTTTCTGGTAGCGGAGCCCGGAAAGGGCCGCCCGCCTCACAAAGTCCGCTACAGCGGTCGGCCTCGCCGAACGCTTAACCAAGCGGATAAGAGGCAGCACAATGTCGAGCTCGCATAGCGAAGCCGACGGCAGTTCCCAATCCTCCGGGGGATATGAGAACGAAGAGACCTCCCAAGGTCCAGCCACTTATGTCGCACAGTCATTTGCAACATCTGACCGCATGCTTGCATCATTAGGCATAACGCCCAAGATCGCGCCTGCCTATGATGGCACCACCTTCGTGGTTTGAGTATGAACAGTTGATTGACGACTGGTGCGACATAACAACGCTGGATGACACCAAAAGAGGTCCGTCTCTCAAGACGAGGCTCTCCGGATTGGCCGCAGTACAAAAAGAATCACTTAACCGAGAAAGGCTTGCAGCCCCAGATGGAGTAGATTACTTCAAGAAGAAGATGCGTCCATTTTTCGTGAAAGGAGAACAGTACGTTTTCCTGTGGCGTTTCCTCGGCCTATTCAAGGCATGGAAGGGCAACCAAGACTTTGTGACTTGGATTGCTAAGTTTGAGATCGTGCTACAGCGCGTGAAAAACTCATGGATGGATCTCTTACCAGAGATAGCTCTGGAAGATGCCCATCCAGATTTCATGCAAGCTGTGCAGGCAGACCGAACCTTCCTGGGCCTACAGGAAGCAGCCGAGAGAGACACATACGCCGCACGCTATTTCGAAACATGGAACAAGGAACGCCTTGACAATCATCGAAGAGCGTTTCCTCTGAATGATAATCTCCTAGCTCTTCTCTTCCTAGTGCAGTCCGACCTAAATGAGATGCAACGTGAGAGGTTGGTAACAGCATTGACCAACCAAGGTCACCGAATTGAGACCTATACGTACCCTGTGGTACGGCAGACCATGTTCGATCAGTTCTCAACGACCAGAACTGGTCTGCAGGATCCCAACATTCGGCACTCTTCTCACAAGAAGGACCGCCATGGAAGGAGAGACCAACGCCGCAAACGCGGAGGTCGAAACTTCCTCATCCTCGATCAGGGTGAATACGATGGAGTCGATGGATTCTGGCTCCAAGACGAAGACACCCTTGAGGAAGGCTTTCTTGCCGCCGAGGATGAAGAAGCTGTCTTCTGGACAGTTGATGACCATGAGGCCTTCGTTGCAAGGAGATTCAAAAAGGGAAGAAGACCAAGAATGCGTCCCGGATCACCGGGAAGAGCAAAGGGTGGCAAGCGAAAAGGACGTGGCCGTTTTAGGTCATACCGCGGAAAAGGGAGAGCCAACCAGGCAGAACATGATCCAACTGATTCCAGCTATTTCGGTAAAGGTAAAGGAAAGGAAAAAGGAAAAGGTGGAAAAGGCAAAGGAAAAGGAAAGGACAAAGGAGATAAAGGAAGCTCCTTCAAGGGTACAAAGGCAAAAGGCAAAGGTAAGGATACAGCTAAGTCTGCCTCCTTACAAGGAGACCAAACTGGATCTCCACAGGCCTATGAAAGTTCCACCGCACCGAGCTGGGATTCATGGTATGAGGACAGTTATTATACTGACTCCAGTTGGAATTATGCCGCTTATGACGATCAAACGTCTTATACATACTATGCATCACAAGCCTCACGAAGAAAAACACGGAGAAAGAAGAGAAGAAATCAAGCAGGATCATCAGGTAGAGGCACAGATCCGAGCGCGCACCAAGAACCCGTGTTCAACTCATCAGTGAGTTACGTGCCCCAGGTCTCTGAACCATCCGAGGGGCAAGGTGTGGAGACTGCAACAGCAGTGTTTCCGTTGCAGCACACCGTCCTATCTGCTCTCACAGAGCGGATCAATCTTGATAAGAGCCCTACCTTTGTCATACTTGACTCTGGTTGTACTAGGGCTATGGGTTCCCGCTATGCGGTGAACAGGCTTATCAAGGCCGTGAAGCAACGTGCCCCAGGCATGATTGATTTCACTTTTTCACCTTCGAACACGAAGTTCTCTTTCGCAGATAGTGAAACAGCTCTTATCAAGGAGCGTGTAACTCTATGGTTCAACACAACTCCAAGAAGAGATACAACCATAGAAGTTTTGGATCAGGGGAGAGTCCCCATTTTGTTTTCCATCGAACAGATG